ATCAAGAACAAACATGAAAAGTTAAAGTTTACTACAGCTTACTAGTTATGGCAAATAGTAAGTGGAAAAACACAGGCTACTGTATATATAAGTCTTGATTAGTGATTTAAATAATAATAAAAATTTAAAATAAAGCAAAGTTATAGACAGATTTTGATGTAACAATGGATTTTACCTTCTCGTAGTATTTGACCTCATATTCAGTGCGGCTGCTGTTTGGGTAGGAGGGCTCCCTCCACACCAAGGTTATGCTCTTCTGCTCGATCTTCTCTGCTCGCAGCTCACTGATCAGTGATGGTGCTACAAAGAGAGAGAGAGAGGAAAACGATAGATGAGTTTAGTGGATTCCAATCTCATCCAATATATAGTACAATACCTTGAGGAGTTTTCTCAAGGACATCAGACATAGTCTTTACTCTCCTGTTTTTTTTCAGTTTTTACACAAAGCTGTACTGTGGAGGCAAAGGTCAAGGGAGGAATACAGTGAATTATTTCACAAGGTGGATTTTGCCAGAGAGCAGGCAATAATATATTTTCCAGTCTCTCCCACTGTAGAGAGACATAAAAAGAGAAAGAAAGAGGACAGAAGTAGGTAGAAAAGAGGTAACAGATTAATTATTGAAGCTGCGATGTGTCTGTAAGGACAAACGCTGCGTTTCTTTGTCTGAGTGTGTGAGTGTGTGTGCATGTGTGGCATTGAAAGTTACGTGGGTCGGTACATTGAGAATGACAATTGATCAATACAGGTATGGATTGACTGACAAGTCTGTATCGACACAAGACTAACAGATGGAGACGCTCTTAATCCGAACTCCCCGTTTCCTCTCCGAGCATTTCAATTAAAGTGACCTCAGATATTTTCTTTGTGACTCAATCTAAGGGAGGGCCACGGTGAAAATTTACCCTGACAGATTTTCATCTCTTATTGATCATGATGGAGTAAAAAACCGAAGATGAATTATCCAGACAAAGCTTTCCGAATTCAGATGCAGTGTGTAATGGCACTGGCTCGCTACGCAAAAATACAATTTCATTATCGAGGAAAGACCGGTTCTTTGTTTCTCTGTCAACAAATGACAGGCAGCACATAGTATGATAATCAGCAAGCACCACCCCCTCTTGCTTAAGTGCTAATTATGCCATGTATAATGAAGTAGCAAAATGGGTTGTCACTCAAAAATACTAAGAAAAATAAAGTGGTGCAGTTAGCTTAGTCAAAAGGCCTTTCTGTTTGGGAGGACCTGTGCCATTAAGGCCTTTAGGGTTAGGGTTAGTAGGAAGGGTAAGGGTGTTTTCTGTGTTTTTTTTTGGACTAGACGATAATTATTTCTGTTTTTCACTTATTTAAATCACCTTTCAATACCCCCCTTTTAAAAAGAAAAGTCCCTTTTCCTTTATCTCTAACAGCTTCTGTCTGTACCTGTTTGCCATCTGTTTTCCTTCTATCCTCTCTCATCCTCCTCTCAGTCACCCCATCAGTTGACTGCTCCTTTTTCTTGCTCTTCCCACTTCCTGTTCATCTCTTCCCTGCCCTTTAACCATCAATTCATCTCTTTCCTTAGTGAAAACAGCCAAACTAATGAATATGTTCTGCTTGTCACTCACACGAGCACTATGAACACACCAAATACACTACACACACATACACACAAAGCATCTGTGCAGTTCCTTCAATCCTCTCAAACAGCAGGATATTATAGTCATTTTAGGCAGCGGATCAAAGACGCACTCAATCTGTCTGTATCTCTCTCTCCCTGTCCATCTCCATCTGTCTGTTTTTTGATGTCTCTGAAAACACAGGTATTTATCCATTATTCATGGTGACTTGTGTGGATTTTTTTTTTTATTATAGAGGCAAGGTGTGTATATATATATATATATATATAAATTATATATATAAATAATATATATATATATAAATAATATATATATATATATAAATAATATATAAATAATATATATATATATATATATATATATAAATAATATATATGTGTGTGTGTGTGTCTCCCAATGAGCACTCAATCATTTTATGTCTGCCGAATCAAGCTGAATGGAGGAGGAAGAATATCCCGACAGTATGTGTGGTATGTGAAACTGTCACTTTGTTTTATTAAAATGTGTAAAAATGCAAATTCTGAATCATGAAGGTAGTTGTAGTGAGCAAGTTAAAAAACTAAAAATATGTATTTTAAAATCAGTTGGATTCATTCAGTAACAGTGCACCTTTGAAGTTAGTCGTCATTGTGTCATGTTCTATTTTTATACTAATTATGAAAAACAAAATAAGATAAAACACACATGTAGTAATTAATTATATCCCCATAGATCCCATATTTATGTATAAACACTAAGCACAACAACTTAGTTAGTCTTATAATTAGGGATGCTCGATATTGGCTTTTCTGCCGATATCCGATATTCCGATATTGTCCAACTCTCAATTTCCATTACCGATA